CCCCCACTGAAAAGACCAGGAGTGCAAGCGGAGGAACGCGCTTGTCCAAGGTGAGAGCACTGGGCAGCCGCAGAGTGTGCTGCCCCCCCCAGGTATGGTGGTGGGGGCACACTGCATATTAACGTCATGTGTTTGTGTCACTGTCCCCTTTTCCTCCCTCAGATGCCCCGCCGGATACTTTGGTCCACGCTGCCTACAGACAGAGCCCCTACGGCTAAAAATGCCCAATCCTTACAAAAGTATGTCCACGCCAAGCCTCGCTCGGCTCCCTCTGACACCCGTAGCTCCCCCCTCCCGCCCCCCCAGGCCCAGATGAGCCGTGGCCGGCCACCCCGCCTCTTCTCCTCGGCTGGTGCTTTGTTCTAATCCCTGCTCTCTTGTTCTCCTCCTGCTCCCTCCTCCTCCTCCTCTCTCTCCGCACTGTCTCCCCTCCCCTCTCTTCCTCTCCCTGTGGTCTGTTTCCCTCCCGTCAGGTGCCCAAATGATTATAACGGTGATCGCTGTCAAACCTACGTTATGGACGATTTCTACAGTATGTTCATTCCTTCTTCTGTGCGTCTGCAGGGTTACTGCATGCGCGAGCTGACGTGTGGCATGTGCCGTGTTTGTCCGTCCTTCAGTCCAGCCGTGTCCCATCCCATGTGTGTTGGCCGACGTGTCTGAAAGGCTGCAGATATGCTACCTCCCTCCCACGCTCCTTGTGTTTTCCTACCTTAAAACGTTTAACATGTGACGACCATTATTCGTTAATTACCGAAGCCTACCCTAAACAAACAACTTTTATACTTCGAAGTATAAAAGCGTGCCAGGCTTCCGTCGCTGCCGGTAACAGCGTGACAGTCACAAAGTGACAAGGTCGAATTTCACAGTACTCAGCACAAAAAATTGACCAAACTTAAAATCTTGAAAGAAAAAAAAAAAACTAAAAACGGACACTGAAGGCTTTTTTCAAGAGACACAAACTACCTGGTAACGTATGTTTAAACCTCATAAAATGCGAAATATGCAGTTTAAGCTGACAGATGGAGATGGTGCAGATTTCCACTTAGTGTTGCTGACGGAGACACATTGGGCGGATTTCCTTAAGTGTACGTATATATGCATGTTGCAATCTGGGTCGCTTAGCAAGCAATACTTTATAACCAGATTAAAAAATATATAGAAACAGCTTCCTGCGCACCAGCCTTCCTCACCAACGGCATGTCAATTCTGCTTAAGCAGACTATATATAAAACATGTAATGTTATTATTTTCTAACTAATATTTACACATTGCTGCCTTGTACTGTGCTAGCAACCCACATTTTAAATTACATTTCCAGCTGTTTGCTGGAGACAGTAATGGTTGTGATAAGAAAAACCATGGTATTCAAGTTAGAGATTCGAAGCAAAATGCACTATATCTCCATGTATGTTCCTGTCTGTGTCGGTGTGCATCTATACGTGTCGTCTGTGGTGTGCCTGACAACAAAACGGAATTTAACAGACAGACGTACTGCAAAAACAGACGTACTGTGATGGCTCGGGGCCCTGTCCTGGGTTAATCCCTGCCTCGTGCCCATACAGTCTACTTTATGCAGATTTCAAAGCAAATACAGACGCACAACATTCAGACGCACAACATTTTCCATGCCCTCCTATTTTTCACCAGAGCACTGAATAGGAATTTTGTTATAGCGACATTTGCACATATAAACATTAGACATCTGATAATTCTTGTTTTCATCCTTAAAGGACAAGTAATTGGGAAATCAATTAGCATGGATTGCCACACATAATTATTTAATTACTGCATGACAAAAACAGGAATTCACCAGCTTAAAGAATGCTGTTTTATTTTTATTTTTTGTTTTGATATTGAAATGGATGTGGCGGCCCTGTGCGGTCAGCGAGGCACAGCATTACGGGGTAACAGTAGCAGCATGCCACAGTCAGGGCGACGTTAACAAGGACGCATGATGCATGACCGCTAACTAACAGCGTGTACGCAGAGCCGGGGAAACCCTGCCATCAGTCATGTGATGGGGAAACCCACCCAGCCCGGGAGGGGCTCAGGCATACCCAGTCGATCACAGAGAGAGTGATCAGGACGCCATTGCCGCTCCCCGCACCGGGATCCCAGCGAATACCTGCAGTCTGACAGATGTCGGACATTAGACCGGATGCACGTCGCTTGGCTGACATTGATCCTCCAGTAGAGGTTGCCTGTTATAGGGCTTTTGCAGTTGTACCTTTGAGTATTAAATGTCCAGCTCCACAAACCAAGATTCAATTTTAATGATAATACGAATTATTATTATTATAAAAACATTAACATAACCTGTCATAGCATTTTTCAGCAGAGAGCAGTAATCGAGTGAGCGCTACAGGTTGCCGTGACAAAAGCCGCAGACATTTATCACAGCCAGGGAGCAACTGCAGTTAAACTCCGCCTGAGCCACACACCCGACCCGGGGTGTATGCATGACAGTAAGAATAGAGGTTAGCAAGATCAGTGTTAGACTGATTCTGGTCAAGGGGGTGACCAGATCTCTGTGAGGGGGGTGGGAGGAGGGAAAGGAGGCTTTATTGTAGCTTTATGACCTAACAAATTAAACGGAGGGGGGGGGGGACTGACAGGGGAAACAGGGAGGGAAGTATGGCATGCCAGGGCTGCGCATGTGGTCTGGTCTGTTGGGGGCCAGACAGACTCTTTCATATAATTAGAATTTGACTGCAGTTGATAGGAGGGGCTTATCACCTGGTACTGCCCCGCCCCAGGAAGTCACGCCCTACTGGTCTTTCAGCCATCCAATCAGATTGAAGTGGAGCGGCCAGTTTAGCATAGAGCATTAAGCATCAGCCAGTCCCTGTGCTGCACTGGCGATGAAGGGGCGTGTCACATTAGTGAGCCTCTCTAACATGCAGCCCCCTGAGACAAAGGACCTTCCAAAATCAGCCAGAACTGTCACAACTATTAAGCAGTAAGAAGTTGGAGTTGCAAAGGACCACGACCCGTTGGAGACGGCGACGGAAGCAACTAGAACGACTCGGCGTGACAGGGGACGTGAAATACAGCTCCACGGGGACTCTTTAAGGTTCCCAGTTCCCTTTAGTCTGGCAGATGGGTGGAGTCCAGTCTTCAGTCTGCTTCTCCAGCACAGGGTTTTAATCTATTACTGCACTGTTTTCCAACCGGGTCCTCAGAGACCCCTAGTCAGTCCACGTTAGGGTTACTGGAGGTAGCAAAAGTGTGGGATGTTTGGCAGGGAGCTGGGAGGGAGCAAAAATGTGGACCGTCTGGGGTCCCCAAGGACCGGATTGGGAAACACTGTGTTACTGGACCTTCAGACCTGTGCTCACTTGGCAGGATAAATGGACTCTGCTATTGGGAATGAGCCTTGAAGGCAGCCCTTTTGCATTATGCTGAGGCCTGCGGTAACACCTTACATTAGGCAGATTGACTCTATTGTCTAGCGTTCAATAAGAGCCGCCCCCTCCCCCCGCAGCCTCCAGCCCCCCCCACCTTTAGTGCCACCCAGCTGTAATAAAACTCAAAATGTCGTATAAGCTAACGTTCCGGCCAGCGGCCGCGAGCCGTAAGGGGCAGTTCTGTTTTACCCAGGAGCCCGGTAATTAGCCTGCACGCCTCCCGGTGAAATCCCGCCACGTCCGCTGCCCCAGGGAAGGGCGGACGCGGCTCTCCAAGGTCCCGGCGCTTTCACGCGCCGCTGACCAGCGTGTTGTACCTTTGTGGGGCTATTTCTGGCTGTGGAGAGTTTGCTCTCCCATGGCTTCACAGTCCTAAAGCCAGCAGCGGCCGCTTCCCTCGTGGCTGAAACGTGGGTCTTAAAGGTCTTCATGGGGCCGTGCTCCACTTTATAGCCGCTCCTGCCCAACCTGGTCACTAGTTCTCCCTCCCGTTAGACCCATTTGCTCATAGACCCCCCACTCGGCCCAGATCGCACGGACCCTGTAGTCTGCTGCTCTCTGTAAGCCCTAAGATTCCCCTCCCCCTCACCCAAGACGGCTTTGCTGCCTATCAGTTGGCAGCAGTGTGTTGTCATGGAAACGACGGGGCCTCGCTGTGGATGGCGGAGGGTGCCGTCTCAGCCGGACGAGCTCAGGTCTTCCTGATGTCTTGAGCTGTGACTCCTTTAACTCCCAGAAGGCTGGCCCCCCCTCCCCCCAGTGCCTTGGCAGCACAGTCTCGTGGCCCGTGCTGCCAGCGCTTTCCGCTGTGCGGAGCACTGGGTCATGCCTCCCACTTCGAGTCAAGCCATGATGGCGGCCTCTCTGGCTAATTTAGCATTCTAGCGCTACATCTCCTCTGCGATGCTCTCAGAGATCCCCCAGCTTTGAACCCGCTATGTCCCTCACATGGTCCAGACACCTGGGAAGGAGCACGTCAGGCACGGCAAACTTCCCAGAAGGCAGCAGGCACAGTGTCGCCGTGACGGTGCCACCACCCCCGCTCCGTCGTCGCTAACGGCTTGGAGAAGTCAGATTGACTGCTTCCCCCTCGTGGCCTTTCTTTCGTCCGTGTGTCTCTTTAATGTTTGCAGCCCGGACATCTAGTCTTCAGCCATGAATTATTTGTAGGTTTTTTTCTAGATTCCTGCTCCTTCCTTTGAATTTCTAATGGTCTTTTTTTTTTTTTTGCGGGTGATGCACTTGGACTTCATTTTGGACGTGACCATCATGCAGGCCATGAAACGGCCCATGCGCTGGCACATGCAAAACTGGACCGGTCCTTCGCATTGACCTCTGCCAGCTGGATTGGACTGAACCGGTGCATTCGGTGCCACACATTACAGTCAGACTGCCGCTTTCGTTGCAGGCTGCGTAGTTTCGAATTTATTATACATTTAGCGATTTGTATAAACCTCGTTTCTTTGGACCGTGGGAGGATACCGGAGTACCTGGAGGCAACCTGGGGAGAAAATGGCGCTCACACGCAGAGCCGGGGGTGAGAATCGGATCCTCAGTCCTGCAGCTGCTACCCACTGAGCCGCCACACGGCAAGATATATGTTATGCAATAGCTTTAAATTCCTAAAAGGCTTTTAATAAATTGTTTAATGCATTAATTTACTCGAGCAGGGATTAGTTAACACAAGCGGGAGTGTCTTTGGTGAATTATTGTCATGTGAAAGACAGAACAATTGCTCCCTGGCTGTTAAATTCAATATTCTGGTCACTTTAATGTGTTTGTCATTTGTGCAGTTTTTTGAGTGCAGTCTCCTCATTCGTCACGGGCTTATGCTCATGAAATGTAAACGTAACAGGACAACGATCCGGGAAAGGCCCGGATGTGAGGTAAACGTGGATTGGAGCAAAGCTGAAGTTAAATCGTATGGCATCTGAAACCCAATGCGTAAAGAAATGCATGCAAAGAGCTGGGCATTTAAAGCTTTCTGCCATAAGGCATGATAACAGACGAGCTGTTTCTAAGGGCTGTGAGGAATTTATAGATACAGGGTCATTAATAGAAGGTCCTGTATGCTTGTTTAGATCTCAGACTCATATGCAGGTACTTTCTGCACCAGGCCAAT